TTCCATTCCATTGTTATATATACAGGCAGAGAGCATACCATCCAATGTATGCACTCAAGGTCAGGAACACTGTTCCCTCTCCACTACACTAGCCAGTCATCTCCTGCAGGAAATGAGATAATGAGGCCCTGAAGAATGGAACCTCCAGGGACATGTGGACAGTGGAGGAAGCAGAGCTTCACATGCAGTCAAACTCACTTTGTTGGGATCCTTGGTGTCATCTTTCTTCACAGCAATCTTAACTCCTCTCATGCTGATCTCCAGGACACAGCTGGAGGGTGGGTTAAAGTGCACAGTGAGGCGACGTGTAGTGGCAATCTGTACCCAACAGAAAAAAAATCAATTGCCACAGACTATTAATGTTTCTTAAAAGTTCCTGTTCTTGCTTTAGACAGCAATTTGTCTCCAAGGTAGATAAGAGTAGTCTCTCCACACATCTGCCCTGCCTTTCTCTTGTTTTGGCTGATGCACATTCCCTCTGAAAAAACAGGGCCCAAACTAAACATGTTTCTGGATCTAACAATATTTCTGGAGCTCAGGTCGTACAGTCTTGGCCCATCTTCTGAATCAATACGTTTTTTTTTTTAAAGTTAGTCTGGCAATACCGACTCTTCCCTTACCACCTTACATTTAGATCATCACGGGAACATGTCCATCATTTATAAATACTATCAGATGTTCTATTTTACATCTGATCTTCGATATTAGGATATTATAATATCCTGTTATATTTGCTTTTAAAATGTTTTAACTCAACACTGTCACATTCTCTTAAGCATAAAAATGCAAGATTAAACACACAAAATACCACTGCTTATCACAGGCAGTTTTTGTGTTGTAGAGTAGAAAAACATCAAATTAAATTAAGGGTATTTTACCTTAAAAATTAATCCAGGCCATTTCTTCACATCTTTTGCGAAGCTGCAGTTGAACTTAGAGCTATATTATTTTCTTGTAATAATCATGGTTATCAAGTAATACTAACCCTTCATGAGTTTCATTCCTTGCCACTTTGGTTAGACCATATTCAAGATGGCCTTGCTTGTTTTTAAAACTCTTAACAGTCTAAATCTGGAAATTAATGGGAAAATCTGTTACTATAAGCACCTTTCTTTTATCTTCTGGTACTATGATTGCCTATTAAATCCTTCAAAAGGATTTTCTTGGTGGAGAAACCAAAGTAGAACCTATTATCTGAAGATATATATTCTGCTCAGAACCTTGCCCATTTTAAATGGAATTTAAAATCTCCTCTGTTTAGATAAAGTGTGTAGGGTTAACAAATCCATTTGGTATCACTGGTTGTTATATTCTCTTCTTCCTTCCACTTCTTTTAATTATATTTTAGAGTGGAGGGTGCTATTCGTCCTTCTGATATTGTTGTATTGTAAAGCAATTTTTTTTCTAAATAAAAATGTAATTTGTCTTTACCTAAATAAAGGATCAGGAGGTTGAGGGGAAGATGGAAAGAGAGAGTTGAGAACATGTACCTTCTGCATCGCTGCACACAATACATCGTTGCCTTTGTGATAAGGAACTTGGACTGAGCCGAGGAATTTCACCCGGAATTGATCCACCCAATCACTGTTTTTGCATGAATCTGAAAAATAAAGACAGTAAAATGAATCGTACTGAAATAAGATACAATCCCACCTGTTGACCTGCTCTTGGTCATCAGAATGCTGGCTACAATCTATCTGGTCTATACTACAAACACAGAAAAACTATATTTTTATCACTGGAAAAAACATGGTTGCTCCCTCCAGGCACCAGTCCTGAATGGAACTCAAGACTCAAAGCTATCCTGGTGAAAAAGCATTTAAAAGAACATATTGGGAATGGGAAAGGGATGATTTTCTGTCCATGGTCATTAAAAAGATTTGATATGTTTCTGTGATGGGTCAGGGCTACTTCATAAAGCTAGGGGCAGCTATAAACCGAGTGACTGGCAACAAATTTGGATTAGAGGAAATGGGTTCAAAAGGAAGTAACATTAAGGCATAATTTACAGAAAGAAGGAAGGAGAAAAGTCCAGTATCTTCAGTACAGTAAATTATTAAAATTAAATTAAAAGCACCCCTTACTCCAGTCCATTGCAGTGGGAATGGGACGTAGTTTGCAGTATATTTGAATGCCTTTGTATAACTGGAAATGAAAACCATGCCCTTTTTCTTCCATTCTAATTGCGAACATTAGTTTAATTAACAGTTTCTTCAGAAAAGATCTTGTACAGGGCATTATCCAAGGGGAATAGGCTGCATGAACAGCCTTCAAATCAAAGAATGTTAATGGGTACACCAGTCCAGATAGAAGCAGAGTAGCAATCCTAAACAGAATCAATACCTGTCATATGATCTGGCTCCTTGGTGACTTCAATAGCATAGTAAGCAGGGAAGATCCCCCGATCACCAGTCCTCATATTATAAGCTTCATACCAATAATCTTCTGCCTGAACTTCCACCAATAAAGGGTCGTCCACTTCTAGCTCCAATTCATCTTCATGACGAGGCACAAACCTAAGGCAAAAACCATATTTTGTGAGCCAAAGCTCTAAAAATAAAATACTAGCCTCATATTTAATAGATTCTATGGGAATCAGATATATACCATAAAAATCTGTCTGAGCTTTTATTCTATAACAAAGGGCTCATAAATAGAAGACTGTAAATTTTCAAACCTTGATTTCACAAGCCCTTGCTCACGTGAGAAGAATATTGCTATAAGAAGTCTACATTGAGCATTTCAAGGAGATTTTCATGAGCAGAATGCTTAGCAATTGGTTTTTCTCTCTTTTTTTTTAGAAGGGCTGCTTATCTGCATAAATTATTTCTCTGATCTCACATTGCTACTAGCATAATGTGCATGTGTGACATTATCTCTTAGATTGGCCACATACTTCTTCTCCAAGACTTAGATTATATGACTTCACTTCGTTTTTATGCATATAATGATTTATCATAAAGCAGTTTGGTCTAGTGCTTAAGACATCAGGTTAGAATGCAGGACAACATGAGTTCAAATCCTGCCTTAAGCCATGAAAGGCAGCTGGGTGACTTTGAGCCAGTGACTCTCTCTCAGCCCAACTCACCTTCCAGAGTTGTTGCAGGGAAAACAGGAGGAGGAAGGCATGCTGGATGTTTGTCACCTTGAATTATTTGTCAAAATAATATAGACAAGATAGATAGATAGATAGATAGGTAGGTAGGTAGGTAGATAGATATAGACAGACAGACAGACAAATGAAAAGATAGCAAAGCAAAGCAAAACAGAAATGCCAGCTGCACAGAACAAAAAATGAATTTCCATCCCACATTAGTGATTCCAAAAAAGACTCTTACATGTACCAATAACCAAAATATACTAAGAGATCAATTTGTTTGCTTATTTACACCTACTTAAAACTAGTGCTGGGGTAGTCTGTAACTATACATAATTAAAGATACTCAGCCAGCAAGTAATCTCTCTCTATATAAACACAACTTCCTCCTCCCATTGTCCCGTTATAACAACCCTCTGAAATGGGTTGGGCTGAGATTCATGATCTCCCACTTTCTAGTCTGGTGCCTTAACCAACAGACCAAATTCTTGGTATTAATACTTGCATTTTATTATTAATCTATCCTCATACTCAACTTATGGTATGGCGCTTAAATGGAATGAAGTTTTAAATGTTCAAGATCTTTAATTAAGGATTAAGATCCCAAATTGATTGTGCTTTACAAGGTAACCATTGTAAGATTTGAGGATTCTATCCCAAATCACAGAGAACATTTTACTGACTTACTTTTATTTACCATGGATCATGTTGGGGGCATATCATAGGAACTGAAGTTAAACAAATTATAGCAGGGGTCTTCAAACTTGACAGCTTTAAAACTTGTGGACTTCAACTCCCAGAATTCCTCCTCCAGTCATGTTAACTCAGGAATTCTGGGAGTTGAAGTCCACAAGTCTTAAATTTGCCAAGTTTGAAGACCCTTGAATTATAGGAATCAGAATGAATCTGCTATAGCAAATTCTTATAGCAACATCAAACAGAGTATTTTGGCAACATCATATGCATGATAAATCTACATTTTTTTGCATATTTCAGTATCCTAGTGAAATTTTAAAATCTTACTTCTCTTTCCAACACCATATTTATAAAATTATTATTACTGAATCAAACAGGAAAGTGTAAAATAGACTCACATACACCAATATATTACATTTCCAACGTAGTGAAGTTGACAGCTAAACCTTGCTAAACATCCTCCTGGATGACCAAGAAACAGACATATAAAATAATGTTTTGTTCATTAATCCCATCCTCAGATTATATAATTCATATTTTGTTGTTAGTTGCGAAGTTGTGTTCGTCCCATCATGACCACATGGACAATGTTCCTCCAGGCCTTCCTGTCCTCTATCATTTAACATTCTTTAAAACTTTAACATGTTGATTTATTAATTCAGAATATTCCAACTCATTACTCCAAATTGCTTGCAGATTACCAACAACTATCTTAAGTTCAATTATTTATAAAATGAATTGTAGCTTTAGAATTAACCAAAGCTTTATCCAATTATGACAATGATTTGTGGCATTTTGATGCTGCTAAAATATCCAGTCCAAACTGTTTATTCAAAATATGTTTTCATTAACAAATTAATTCAGGCTTTTCCTGCAACAAAGTACTGTAATTATTTTGAAGGATCAATTGACTATAAGCTGATTTAAAATATTAATGCCATTTTTTGCCCATGAAATAAACAAAAATTATTTGCAATTTCCATGCTATGATTATCCACTGCCAGTTTCTCAGGGAAACAAGGATCAAATTTAAGCTTCCTTCTAAATATTATCATCCAAATACGTCTTATAGCCTTTAGTGGTGGGAAAAACAAATGCCTTTGAGGGGTCTTTGGTGCTCTCTGAGCTTGGTGGTTTTCTTAAAAGATGTTTCATTACTCACACTAGGTAATACCATCAATGCTAGTAAGGAGTGGGGTTTGATCTCAGTTTATGTTCTACTGGTTTGTCCTGTCAGTGTTGGTGGGAGCGATCTTGGTGGTTCTTTGGTTGGGCTGTTTATTGTCAGCTTGTTTTGTTGATTTTGCACAGTATATAGATATTGTGTATGTTTATGGGTCTGTTGGTGGTTAATTTGTCACCACCCTAGACCAAGCCAAGTCCAAAATGCTAGAAAATGTCTAGAAGCCTTGCATTCTGACAAATTATCCATCATTTATGCAGTGGTTCTTTATTAATGTATGGGAAAGTTCAACCAATATTATTCTGTGTGATCCATGTTTAATCTCCTATTCAAAAGCTGAAATATTTTCTATGCATCTATTATATGATCCATATCTTTGTACCTGTGTTTCTTTTGATCATTTGATATTCTGTATTTTTAAAATTCCTTTTCTGTGTTTTAAAGTAACTGATGTGTGTGTGTGTGTGTGCGTGTGTGTGTGTGTGTGTTAAGGACAGGAAAAAAAACCCTACCTTTTCATTCATAATCTGCCCCCAAACTTACCTGAAAACAGCTCGGTGAGTCTGTTCCTGTTCTTCCCCATTGATCATGCAAGAGAAAAGCCCAAAGGACTCAGCACCTGAAAAGAGGGAAAATGCTACAGCCACCTAATCATTCTCCTCCTCAAACCATAATGTTAACTATTATTCAGAACCTGTCTTGCTAATCAGAAATCCCCTCTTATTATTTTAAATGCACAAAATATTAAAAGTAGAGAATACTAATTCCCAATAGGAATCCACTAAAGAGAGAAAGGAAAAAGGTAGACTAAAATGCCTTCATATATATTTTGATCACTGGAGAACATTCTACATGAAGAGAATAAATTAACTAGCTTCTAATCAAAAATATCACACACCAAGACATTAAAAATTGATATATCTGGAATAGGAGTACCTTTCTTTCCCTGAAATTCACGAGGGTGGGTGGATGTGTCAAAAAATGGCAGTCTTGACTATGTGATTGAAACCGTGCCCCTCTGTACATGTGTGTGATGCCAACACATACATAAAAGGGGCAGGGCTCTGATCATAGGATCGTGACCAATATCTTGACTTTCCTGATCCCTGCAGAAAACCTACTGTATTTGATTTGTAATATTCCAAATTTCTGTAAACCTGTTTGGTCTGAAGAAGTGGGAACACCTAAAAAAAACTAATAGTGTATATATAATAATCATTTTCAATTCTTCTCAACTTCTAATTTGTTATCAGATTTATTCATTGTTTGGATTTTGAAAGCCTAAAGAAACTATCATTATAGAAAAAGAATACATTTCTTGTAAGCTCTCTCCATGAAATTGGTGCATAAACTTCAACCCATCCACTTAATTCTATCTTTGGCTTTTTTAGCAACAAGATCTAAAATGTTGAGAACAATCCTTTTAAATTGCCCAAAGTTGTCCAGATGTTTTAAGGACATTGTAATGCAAGAAATTGCCAGCAAACCAATAAAATCCATTCCAGTGCCAAGAAAGAATGGCTAGCATTCTATTCTGGGCTGTGCAACCAATACTTGATGGTCAAAGAACTTGAAACACCCTTGCTATTTTCTTGCCTCCTACATTTGATTTTGTAAAACTGGACTGGAAGTTAAGGCTACTGTTTCTCGAGGAATTTACTTTTGTACACCAAGCAACCTTGCCATAACTTCCATTATAACAGGATCCATACCCTTGGCAAGTGAAAGATTCCTCTGTCTCGGATGAGGCTCTCAATCCCTCCTACCCTCTCCCTTCTTTCTAGGGCCTGTGGGAAATGACTTTTGCCCAGCACTCACTGGAGGAACGTGAGCGGCCACTCATGAAGACATTGAGGAACTTCTTGGAGAAATGGATGTCTGCCTCGGGGGTGGAATCCTCAGAGAGACAAACAGAATCGCGTTTCAGGGCATCTTCTTCATACTCCTCCCCAATGGCTGATTCATATGGTGAGGAGACACAGTTGTCATAGACGGTGGCTGAATCACTCTCGTCACTGTAACCTGAGTAACACTGTTTCAGACTAACAAGTTCGAGCTGCACATCCTCATCCACCACAAGTGTATATTTGACTGAGTCGTAGGAGAGGGCGCTGGTATCAGAGCTCACTGATGCCCTTTGGAAACTATGGCGAGGCTGATAGCCACCATTACTGCTGCTGTACACTGTCCGTGGTGTGTTCATTTTGTCAGGTGAAGATAAGTAATCCAGCACCTCATCCTCCTCACTGATTGAGGAATTGGGTTTTCCTGTCATTTGTGGGTAGCCAGAAGTGTCTATGTCAGAGCTAATGGACATCCGGTTGTCACTGGACTGTGACATGAATGGCTTCTCAGACTCCAGAGGGTCCAAATTCTTTTGTATTGGTGTTAGGTAAATCTCTTCAGTAGCTTCCAATCTCACATCAGTCTGGTAGCGAATACGATCCCGATAAGCTTCAGGTCCTCTTGTTACTACCACCACAGTTGGATTCTGGGACGGGAGGCGGTTGACAGCCTGCTGCTTGTCAGGTGCTCGAGAAGAGGCCATGCAGGCTGATGCAATCTGTGTTGAAGCTGTACGCCGGCATGGACTCTCTGTGGATGTACCCCGATCTTTGGTGGAGGCTGTGCTATTTTGGTGAGTGACCTCATCACTCAGGCAAATATGGTCATGGGGCGGTGTCTGCTCACCTGTAGGAAGGTTAAAAAGCAAGGAGAAGGAAGGAACACATACAATAACCAACAAGACAGAGATAACAATGTTTTGATACACTTCCCATAATTCATTCAAAGCATGGTAAAACCACTGGAACTTTATCTACATATTTCACAAAGTACATCCAGAGGATTAAGAGATAAATCCTACTTATGTTGCCCGCTGAATCTTAAAATACCCACCTATCAAAGTCAAGTCAGGTTTGACTTTGACCTTCCTGATTAATCATAGTCAGTAACAAATACATTTGAATATCCTAAGTACCCTAAGTGTTTCTACTCCCAATCCAAAATGGTTAGAAAAACTTTGTCTTAGAAAGGCCAGTGTTTGGAACAATGCCTTACAACTGGAGCCAAGCACATTGTTTCTGGGAACTGAAAGGTGCTTATGCCAACTTACACACTGCATGTGTGTTCATATCTATAGAACTCTCTCTCTCCGACTCAGAAGTTGACATCCATGAAGTTTCTACCATTTTTATCCTTCCACTTAATGAAGTCAAAGGATATGACTTATAATTTTCCCTTACAACAAAACTATGAAATGCCTTAGTTTGAGAGACTTGATGTCCTTGATGACAACTTAGGTTTGACAAGACATCTGAATCTAAGTCCAATACATTGCCATATTCATTTCAGCACATCACATTCCCCAAGGTGCTGTTCAGTCAGTTTGACTCATGTTAAAAAAAAGGAGGAGGAGGAAAAAGAAAAATGCTGGCCTATAGGAATGGAGGCACAAAAAGCCAGCTCTCAAATGGCTTGAGTCCAAGTAGTCAATTAATAAAACTACAGCATTCCTTGCAAGATGCCAGCCGAAGTGAAAAGACATTAGAAGATTATAAGAAGGAGGTCCAAGCATTGGGGACTGTTCCAGTAGGCAGAGGGGGTGGGGAGAAAATCTGCCTGTGCTGAAAGATGAACTCACCCGTTTTCAGGGGGGACGATGACCGAGACACTCGTTCCTGCCAACTGTGCTTTTTCCCCAGAGAGTTGTTATTCAGAGTGTCCTGAAGAAAAGAACAAAGAGGGCTTGTATCTGCAAGGGAAAGTGGCTCATGGCACAAAGAGGCCCATCGCTTCTCCTCCTACACTGGCCTCTCTCTCTCTCTCACACACACACACCCATACACACCCTGCAAGCTATTGTCAATTTGCTTGTGCGGAAAGAGGGATATTCAGAGGGATCCCGCCACTCCCTCCATCTGTTGCTCCGCATCTGCAGCCTCCTCATAGTGGGCATAGAAACAGGAGAAGGGAAAGGCTGAGGCGATGCAGCAGGCTACAAGAAATCAACGAAGCTTAAGCCTTCCCTTTCTGGGGCCTCTTCAGTCAGGTGGTTCTGATGAAGGGGAACCGAATTACGCAGATGTTTAACTCCCACCCTGTTGTCTCTCATTTAATTCAGGCTGCGGCCAGATGGAGTGCGCTAAATGCTATCAGTCGAAGGACAGAGTGCAGCTAGTATTTTGGAGGGCTTTTTTTAAAAAAAGGAAGAAAAGAACTGGACTGTTACAATTGAATATCACTCTCACTCTCACGTCACTCCAACAATGAGGCTCTTCTTAGTTTCCATATTTCCTTATTGAATCAGCCATAGGGCTGGAAGGGCCACAAGGAGTTTAGTCCAATCTCTAGTCCAACTCTGTAATGCTCAAGAAGTCCAATTAAACTGTCCACGAGAAACCCCCAGAGATGGAGAATCCAAAACCTTTCACTGTTGTACAGATTTTATCATCAGGTCAAAAGGCCTTCATTGGGCATTCTGGCATGCCACAACATCCCACCCAGTATTCCTATCTCATCTGCCACCAATCTTTGCTAGGAAGAGTGAGAAGTGCACAGATACCTTCTCAGGAGAGTGAAGAACCACACGAACTGGAAATTACGGTAAACAAAACATTCAACAAAGCAGCGAACCTGCATAGAGTTGTGAAATATGTATGCCTTTTAAAGGTAAATAGCATTTGCATTCTAGAATATTTAGTTCTACTTTCACACTTCGGTGCATAGCTGCCCAGTGTTACCTTGCAGGGGAGATGGGTGGCATATGTTAAATAAATAAATAAATAAATATACATTACATACATACATATATACATGAATGGATGGATACTGAAGCTTATTGTACACTTCCTTTCAATCTCATCCCTTTTTGATACGCTTCACTTTTCTAGCTGTCTTGAATTTTGCATGTAGCAATAGCACTTAGACTTATATACCATTTCACTGTGCTTTTACATCCCTCTCTAAGTGGTTTACAGAGTCAGCATATTGCCCCCAACTGTGTCCACATTTTACCAGCCTCGGAAGGATGGAAGGCTGAGTCAACCTTGAGCTGGTGAGAATCAAACTGCATATCTCAGTGACTTACTTATAGATGCTGTTTTATCCTGTCCATTCTTGCCTCAACCCTGGCCCTTCCAGACTCTCTGCTTCTACCATTGAAAAATTGTTACATCATCAGTCCACACCTTTATCACTTCAGGTAAGGTAGGAGACCTCGATATGCTTTCCTTAAAAAATTGAACGGAAAAGGTTTGGGAAAGGTTGCACACTTCCCAGAGTCGCCTCTATAGGTGAAATGGGTAGTCTCTAAATTTGATGTATAGGTAAATATATTTTGTATATACCTGGAAGCCAAGCCATACAAAGCTTTAGAATTCATAACCAGCATTTTGAATTGGTCATAGAAGCAAACTTTAACCAATGCATTCAGTAATACTCTTGACTTTGCTAAAATGGCTTCCCTCTCTCTTTTTCCTCCCTCCCCCATACTTTTTTTTCTACAGCTAGGTCAAGTGTAAATTGAAGAGATATAAATGCATCAGAAGCTTCAAGCATGGCACTCATTCACCTGCCCGACATTGGGCTATTGTAGTTATTTTATAAATATGTCTATAAGTTGGTTATCTCATTTGATGCAATTTAGTCCTACTTCATTGCAATGAAGTGATAGAGTATCAAAAAACCTCTTGCACTGAAAGCGTTTGAAACTACCGTATGCACAGTCAACATAATTCTGGAAGATCACTGAAGGGCATATCAGCTTTTGGAATTTAAGCTGCTCCTGTCCAGTCTCATGCCATCTTGACTCTAAGCTGTTTTAAGAAAATCCTGTCCAGATGGAGTGACTACTGCAACAGCTTGCAAGGTATTCAGTCTGAATGGTAAGCTACTGTTGGGCATCTGTGCCTCTCACCTTTCTTTTCCAGGAAAGTAAATGACCAGTCACTTTTCTTCCTGTAGGCAAGTCTTCCTCTGTGTCTCTGTGTGTGTATGCATGCGTACGTGTGTATATACACAAATATTAAACTGAATTTGTTTATACACAAGATTAAAACAAATATAGACAGGCATACTGAGCAGTATGAACATTAAGAACATTAAAAGTAAATAACCTTTTCTTACTGCCTTATTTTTTTTAATGTTTTTAGAGTATCTTTATCATGAGCGCTGAAGTAGTACCATAGGTATAACTCTTGTCTTGGTAACAGAAGGCTGTTGGTTTGAAACTCAGCAATTTTTAAATCATTTTTTTCTTTTCTGTGCTTTTTGACAAGCACAACATACAGCTTTTTATTATTATTTCAGTCACCTCACATAAAAATTTCATCCCCAGATCCTCAACAACTCTTATGTTTCTTCCTTGATATGATTATGTTCCTCCTTCCATAACCTGTAAACGTACACTTAAAAATTTAGCTAAATTCAGTTTCAAAGTATTTGGCTCAAACAGTTATACACTTCAGAATGTCAGAATTGTCTCCAAAACCCTATTGTCTCAAAATATTTTAAAAGCCAAAATTCTGAAAGTAATTCAACAGATGCTTAATAACTATTGATAGTAGTATTAGTTATAGCAGAAGGTACATTAACAGATATTTTCTATCAATGGGCAAAAGGTAGCAACTATATTACTCTGATTTCTGCCTAAAACAGTGTGAAAAGCTGGTCTAAGTCACTGAGTGAGTTTTGTGATAAGTGAAAATTTGAAAATAGATATCCTCTAAGCCCAACTTGGCCACAGGTTAGAGAAAAATCATGTGAGAAAAAAGGCTAACTTCCCCACCCTGCAGTATGCTTGTGACTTTCCTCAATAATTGTTTTTTTCCCCTCTCTTTTTCTTTTAAACTAGAAAGTCCAGCCATGGACAATAGGAAGTTTTACTGACGTGCTGACATTATAACTTATTCTGAACTGAACAAAGTTTGGCCTCTTTAGTTAAATTTGCAAGGAGCACATGGACTGTCTATACTAGTGAAACAATTTTCAGATTGTTAATAACCAAGTGATGAGTTCCCAATGCCGGTTGCTTTTAAAAAAAAAACATAATTAAAAACAATAATGTCTATGGACATTCTCAGTTATCCAGGTCACAGTTATCCCAAAAGTGCTTTTTCAAGAGGCAATTGGACCAGAAAGTCCAGTTGCCTCTTGAAAAAGCACCTCTGGGACAAAAACAATAATAATGACATTATGCCTCTGGTCCAGCTGATTATAATAAACCCTTGGTTTGTCTAAAGAACTACCCAGTACCTTCAGCCAGGGTCCAGATCTTTGTTGCCCATTACATCTTCATTTCCACTTTCCAATATTATTTCCAAAAATGCCTTGGGCCTCTTGTAAGGCTCAACAACACTCCTAACAAATAAAATAAAATGGTGCCTAGTGCTCTATTTGGAAAATGCTTCTTCACTAGGCCAAAGAAAAGGTGGTGAGTTGTAGGAATTAGCAGGCCCACTGGTGAGATGGAGCTGAGAGCACGTTCACCATCTTGCCTTCTGAGAAATAGGGGGGTTTGTGCCTGGTTACAATCATTACCACAGCCTTCCCCTTGATGCCACTAATTCAGAGTCCCCATAACATCCACACCAAAGTCCAACTGTATCCTGTAGCTGAAGAAGTTGTCCTAACAGTTCACTTAACTTCACTCTTTTCTGGAACTAATAGCACCTGAGCTATTTCAGATATTGATGTGCAGTATTTTTGCTTTCCATATGACTACAATGTTTCTGCCTACACTTTAAAACCCTCCATTGTCAACTGCATACTGAACACCAGTTCCCAATGCCACCCACCCGGCCCAGTCTCCACCATCTGCTTCACAGAGTGGCACCTGCTTTCCTTTGCATTTTCCATAGCAATTGTCACAGGCAAAATCTTATTTAGCAAATGAAGTTGTATCCCAAAACAGCATATAATTAAAAATAGTCCACGGTGGAAACTACCTCACTGCTGTATAGATGAAAGAAGAGAGAAGGATATAAAAGATGGGCAGATAATTATTAAAGTATGAGGCCCTGAAACAGTCACAGCTCTAGATGAAGGTGGATTATAACAGTACAGAAGGGAAAGCGTTCTCTGATACCACACAGTTTAGCAGAAAATACCATTCATACATTTTGTATCACTTTGAAGAGCATCCCCAGTTCCTTTAAATCAGTCTCCTGGGAAGCAGTACTTTTAATACTTTCAACTAGTTCACCGCCTCCACTTTCCCATCTACAAGTAATGCAATGGCCTTGAGTCTTTTGAAGTAGGCTCTACTCAATGGAAGCTATTAACACCTATTATTTTTAAGGCAATCTTCTCAACCAAATGACCTTGATGATAAGAGTTCTTTCCTACCTGGAAGGCATTAGGTTGCAGGAAATCTAACTTAAGTTGCCATAGGGTCCTTTTTATTATATCAGCCTCTTATGGCTGTCTGTCTGTAATGTTTTTTTTTTCTCCAGACATCCATCATTTTGCAGAATCCTCCCTTAGGCTTTTAAGCATAATTCAGGAGATACAGAAGATCTACCTCCCATGATAAATTATTCCTTTGGCCCTAGTGGTTTTGTTTATTACTCTGGCATGTCAAGGATACTTCACAATCCCTTAGGTCAGGCCTCCAGGATATCTACCTTAGCCTTTATAACCTTTGCAAAAAAATTCAACTGTGCAGTATTTTATATCCATCCTTTAGGAAAGAAAGATAACCATGAAACAAACATACAAGGCAGACAATATATAACATTACTAACCTCATAAGGTGGCTTTCTGGATGATGAAACAGTTTTGTCTTATTTCTATGACTTCAGAATGAAAAGGCCATAAGGTATGTTAAACAGTCATGGAATATTTTATAGCCTAAAGCCCAGAGAAATGAGATCCTCCCATAGACTGCAATATTTTATTTCAGAGACTGTCTAATTAAAGTCAGTGGAACAGTGGATTTCACTAAACATGCCTAAACATGTGCTAATTTCTCTTGAGCTCACACTGTGTTACACATACACTCTGAAAAGATTCTCAGTTCATTAGCTGAGTTGCTGTCATCTCAAACAAGCATATTCTATAAAAGGAATTAATTGCATTTTGCATTATGGTACATTTTACCACAGGTAAAAAAAAAAAAAGCAACCCATCACAACCGAATCCTAGATAGGGAATTCATAGCATTGCTCAATCTATGTATGCTTTTATTTCTCCCCCAACCTAATGCAAGGTCTCTGTCTCCTTTGATCACTAGGTATTGATCCACCTCCAGAGCTTGTCAATTTTCAGCTGTAGAACACATTTCTGAATCAAAGGCACATACTGTGAATGGCAGAGAAGACAGGGAGGCAGGTGACCTTCAAGCATAATCAGAGTACATTTTTATGGCAATTAACAATTCCGCCCTGTGAACCTTTTTTCCGTAAAAGCTTCTTCAGAGACTTGGCTTCTTTCACTCAAAGCTCTCCTACTATTTAATCTTTTATTGTGTTGGGAAGGGAAGAGAAAGGAGACATCCATCATCCCAGAATGTCTCCCAGCTCCTTTTTCCAAAAAGGCAACCTGGCCACAGGATCCCCTCAAGTTAGGCAACAAGTAGGAAGCTGAAAGTGGAACAGCCTTGTCTAGTCGGAGGGAGGGGGAATCGAACTTCCTCGAAGGTGGGGGGGGAGGGTAACAAAAACCGCCTTTTCTTAGTAAATGTTAAAAGAGACAAGGCGGCGGGAAGGGGGGGGGGT